AATTCTAGGGTAGCGCACTGTTTTTGTTGTTGTTGTTGCTGCTGGGGTTGCAACTATGACGTTAAGTTCACTTCTTTCTTTTTTTTTCGTCTTGGCGTTCTCCTTTCATTGGAAAATGTAACTGTCCAACAATGACCTCCACTCTGTTCTATCTGCTCTCCTCTGAATCAAGGTTATCCCTGCCTGCTCTCTGGTGTCATCTTGCCCCCAGAAAGTTCTGAAAGGCTATTTTGCGGTCAACCACATTATACGACTGTGAATGCTGGACAATCACTATAGACAGTGAAAATAAAGTAGAAGCTACAGAAATGGGGTATCTCAGGAGACTACAGAAATTTTCCTGGAACGAAAAAAACCCAAATGAGGTTTGTACTTGAAGAAGCCCATATGGACAGCTCGTCGATAAAAACGAGAAAGAAAAGACAAAATGCAGTTTCTGGGATACTCAAGTAGATATAAAGTATAAAGGCCTTGAACCTAGCTCTACGTGGCAGACTCAGAGCTACCTACTTGGAGAACCTTGACAGATGGGTGACAGGAAACTAGCTTCTTTTAGAGCGTCCGAACAAAGGAATGAATGGAGAACTATGACCGTCGATGTCTGTCGCGTATCTGGTACTTGATATAAGGAGCCAATTAAAAAAAAATGCGTCTTATTTCAAAAATCAATAGAGATGTAGTGTAATATTTGATATAAACATGTCTTCGGTAACACTAGACGACTCCGAAAGTGCCTGGTGTTTTGGCGAAAGTCTCCGAAATCGCAGCTGCTGCAGCACCATCTCTCATTTCCTCATATATGTTGCAACTCACAGGCCGAGCGAAGGGTACCAACCATGTGAGTGGGAAGTGTGTGTGTATTTGTGTGTGTGTGTGTGTCTGTGTGTGTGTGTGTGTGTGTGTGTGTGTCTCTCTGTGTGTGTGTGTGTGTGTGTGTATGTGTGAGTGTGAGTGAGAGGGAAGTGTGTGTGTGTGTGTGTGTGTGTGTGTGTGTGTGTGTGTGTGTGTGTGTTTGCATCATGTGAAGTGTTGAGGGAGAAACGCCATTATCAGACCCGCGGACTCAACAAGAGAGACTTGATGCGATAGCAGACGATTAAATTATGCCTTTCTGCATCACAGGCTCAGAGGTCGCCTTGAGTCACCCGCCATGACAAAAAGGGACTAAAGGTGTTTCCACTCTAGAAACAAACCTGGAAACTTAGTTGAAACTCGGCCTCTCAAGACGGATGTCGAATTTTTTTAAATTGTAAATGTAGGTAGTAGGTATTTTTACGCCCCCACTTACACAGTGTAGACCATTTTGAACGTAGTTTTACCAAATACGACCCAGCCTGATCAGGGCCAACGGGGGCAGAGAGAAATGCAACATCCCACCATAAAGACCGAGATACTCAATTAAAATTTTCCCCACTCGGGAATCGAACTCGGGTCTTCTGCGCGAGACAGAGAAGTGCCTAGCCGCTTCACGATAGATGTTGGTAAAGAAAGCGGGTGCTCTTTTTCAATTTTGCAGTATTTGTAAATTGGCGTAGGATGGCAACTGATTAGATAGATACTGACTTTCTTGGATCCAAACTACAGAAAATAAACGTTGTTTACTCTTTGAAAAAGCCATAATCTCAAGATCAGTTAGGTTCCGATAAAAAGAAATGGTTTGAAATAACTAAAATTAGCACAGAAAAATCTTACATTTCGTTAAATTCAAATGCACAAAAGAATGCTTTACCTGGAACTGGAACACCTTGAGGTGTCATCGCTGGCTCAGGGGTTGACGTGCAATATCCCTTATGATCGCTTGCTGCTCTCATGCACTTTGTCATATTTAGGCCAGCCCATACTTTGATGTCGTCGGTCCACATTGTGCGTTTGTCCAAACTTATTCTTTCTGCCACACATCTTGCCTCCAAGTATTTCCGTCATAATAGTCTGGTGGCGTTTTATATGGCCATGTCTGTCTATCTGTCTCTTTCTCTCCCTCGCGCGCGCGCGCGCGCGCACACACACACACACACACTCACACTCACACACATATACTCATTGTGAGCGGTTGGAGGGTGCTCTGGTGCCGTTTGCTCTTTCTATCGTTCTTATCTCTCCTCCTTTGTTTGATGTTACTCTCTTGTAACACCTCTAATCTTGGGCATTTACGTGACCTAATTGTGCTGCAAGTGACGCAAATTTCTTAAAATCTCTCTCTCTCTCTCTCTCTCTCTCTCTCACTCCGCCCATTTTCTTTATATGACCAAAGTATTGTAATTTTCTACTTTCCATTTTGTTTAACTACATTTGACTTGTGTGGCCTTGCGTGGAAAATTCATGTAAGCCCGATTTTCTCATTTCAGGTCACCGAATGATTGTTGGACGCGAACCGGTCGGTCGTTAAGTAGGTAAGGAGCAACAATATGTCATTTTTGGGACGGGAGTCATTAATTGTGGCCTTGGTGCCGAACGTTTTGTTCGGTGAGAGAGGAGACTGAATGGGGGGAGTGACAGTGTGTGTGTGTGTTGTGTGTGTGGTGTGTGTGTGTGTGTGTGTGTGTGTGTGTGTGTGTGTGTGTGTGAGAGAGAGAGAGAGAGAGAGAGAGAGAGAGAGAGAGAGAGAGAGAGAGAGAGAGACGGACAGAGACAGACAGAATCAGAGACAGAGACTCTCGACAGAGATAGAGACAGAGACAGACAGAGATAGAGAATAGAGAGGTCATTGGTAACTGAATGAGAAAATGAGTTCAACGCCTCATTCAGTGCTCACAGTTGTACCAGCACCCCCTCCCTCCCCTCGCTTAATCGCCTGCTCGCCCACCCCCATCCCCCACTCTTTTGTCAAGGACGCCCCCTCTTCCCTACTTTAAAACTATAAAAATAAGCAAGCTAACACAAGAGCGATATTAGATTGAGTAAATAAAAGCACGCCGAATCAACAAGAATAACTGAATAGTCCTGGTAAAAAAAGCAAGACGGACAGACAGAAATAGAAACAATAAAGGGGAAAGAAAAAATTAGTAGGACCTACCATGCTGTGGCGTCCAGCAACCAACCACTCGAATACACATGATAAAATACGAGCGAATCCACAATAATATACATAATATATTATTACCCATAGGATATCAGTGATGCATACCTCTCCTCCCTTTCAACCACACACAAACACACACACACACACGCACGCACGCACGCACACATACACACACACACGCACGCACACACACACACACACACACACACACACACACAGAGCAGGTGTATGCATTCGTTGAGCACGTTCAGAGATCAGGTCCGTAGCCCTCGAACAATGGCCACAGGCTGCCCTCATTTCGGCCATGACGGAGAAACAATGGCCACATCAAATCATTTTCACAGAATAATTTCAAATTTCCACTCCGAAATCGTTTTGTTTCCGGGCCAAAATTAGAAGGTTGGCCAAAGTTCTGTGCTGTTTTAACATATAAATACGCTGGGTTTTTTTATATTCTAAACAGAGGTCACTTTATAAAAATAATATTTTGGTCCTTCAACTTCAAAATTAATGTTCACAGTTTACAGCACCAACATTATCAAGTAAAAAATTGGCTTTTAATCCCCCCCCCCGACCACGTAATAGATTTTTGTCCTCCAAATCTTTGGGTTTAAACAGCATTAATATGAAGTGTCGGTGTGTGTTTACAAAAAGCCGCAATACCATATTGACTTGATCACTGTCACTTGTCCCCTAAGACAGCATAAGGTTTAACTCAACATCAGAGAAGTCGAGCTATCGGCATGCTCTGCATGTATCTGCAGTTGCCAGGGTATTCAACATGTTTTTCTGACTCAAAACATACAGCACCTCGAAAATACATGTACAATGTATCTCTAAAGGACTTCAACATTAATCCCCCGACATGGCAGAGCCTAGCTCTTGTCAGAGTCAGACAAGATTGCAGAGCAGCAAATTATTTGAGGCTTCACGAATTACAAGGTAGAAATGTTGAAGCCTATACTATAGTGCGGTAAAAAATTCGTGGCGCAACTTATCCTCAAATATCTCTTTAACAGGTGAATCAACGTCATCCATACTTTGCATAGCAGTTTGTATCAATTCGTCTTAACTAAACCATTTTTCGAGAACAATTGAGGCTAGATTAAAAAAACTTTTCATAAATTTATCTAAAATTAATACTTGAAATCTCTGTTTCACGTAAAATCGTATTGTTCACAGCACTTCCCGCTTCTCACACACATTTTGATTACGCATATATGGCCTACGCCACAGCTCATCGATGGCAATATTTACTTGCAAAACTTGTTACAAACTATTTTTATAGTGAACACATTTTTTGCACTTATGGTTCTCAAAAAATGCGTTTAATTTTAATAAGCAAAATGTCCCGAAAAACCTGACGGACTTGCTATTAAAAGCAATATTGCCCCAGCTGTTAACATTTTAAAATCCGTAGAAACCACTCACTTAGATTTTTTAGTAGTATTTATAAAGTAATTTTCAAGAATACAGCTTGCAAGTATAAATTACAAAAATATTGATCTGCTAAGATAAATTGATACAAGTCACTGTGCAAAAATTGGAGTACCTATGTACAATAGTGGAGGAGATATTTGACAGCAAGTCGCACAACGAATTTTTTACCGCACTATAGTGAAAAGTCCACAAGCTCTGCACACATCCACAAGTGGTTAATGAAAATTTCTCTTTTCCGCATGAACTGGTCTCAACGGCCATAGAAAAAGCCACAAGTCATATTGTACCTTAATTCTGCTATTTTGTTTTAAAGAAACATGCCTCTTCTGCTGCTGCAGGTTGTCGTCAGACACTGATTGATGGACAAACTATTACTAATTGTGAATAATTTTCAGGAACTCCATGTTTCAAACAAAGGAAAGAAAACCCAAGTTTGTCTATAATAAAAACAAGACACTATAAACCCTCCCTCTCACCCCCGGGAATAAAAATGTGTTTAAAAATCACAGCCTTCACTTATAATAAGAAAACAAGCGCTGAGTTTTAAGCATAAGTTCACATTTTTATTCATCAATGGTAGGACACATAATATGTACAAGCAAAACAACCATCAGTTCACCATATGACACAATAATTCAATACTGTGGCCCCATGCATGAACCTGATACCCCACATTTTCTTACAAAACGAGATAAGGTGGTAAATAAGTACAGGTACTGCGAATCATCTTTAATTTAAAAAAATTAAATGGGAGCAACTCAAAGAGTTTTAGTGATCAAATTGTTTTGTTCTAATTTTTTAACCTGACACGTGAAACTAACATTCTGTGCATGAACCTGATAAGCCTCACATCCCAGACAGCCACGGCCCATAAATCTGACAAGCCACTTTTCCAACATGGCGGCGCACTTGAACTTGAACAGAAAACCGAGATGAGCCCGAAAACTGTCTTTAGAAGCAGCAAAAGCATTATTAAACCACTGTTTTGCCCAGACCCTCAGCTTGATTGTATGTGCTGCAATTCAAGAGACAGAGAAGGCGTTACAGAGCTGCCAACGGAAGTGAAGAAAATAGTCAAGTACTTCCACAAGAGTGTTCTTGCAAGTGACTGCCTCAAAGCCATCCATCTTCTACAAGGTCTCCCACCAATGAAACTGACCAACAATGTGGAGACACGTTGGAATTCAAAGCTACTAATGCTTCAGCGCATTCTTGAACAAAAGGACTCGGTGACGGCAACTCTCTCGGCAAAGGGTAGAGGCACAATCATCAATGTGTCTTTCTGATGAGGATATTGAGAGTATAGCCGAAACCATCAAGGCCAACTGAGCGCTTGCCAAGAAAGTAGCCCAGGGTGTTGGGATGGCTGTCTCTGCAGAACGGGGAGCGCTAGTGACACCAGTGTGTGCTGTGAGTGCGGTCGGCAACTCAATACTACCCATGTTTATCTTCCCCACATAGCGGTTCCAGGAACATTTCCTGATCGGCACACCACCATGCTCGATAGGTGGAGCAAATGGGTCAGGCTGGATAAAGGACAAAGATTTTCTTACGTACATTCGGCATTTCATCAGGCATGCAAAACCAACCCCTGAGAGTCCAGTTTTTACTGATTCTCGACAATCACGTTTCCCACCTGTATGGTCCAGCTATCGACTTATGTAGAGAGAACAATGCTATTTTTCTTTCTATCCCCCCCCCCTCCTCACTGTTCACACAAAATCCAACCCCAAGATCGAGTAATCTATGGACCATTCAAGACTCCGGTGAACAGACGGTGCCATTCTTGGATGCGGGAGAACCCTTGAAAACCAATGGCAATTTATGACGCCCAATCCATTGTTGGAATGACTCTCCCACAGGCAAGTGGCATTGAGTCCTTTATGCACACTGAGAGTCATCAGGTTCAAGCAAGGAAGTTGACTAACATTTTTATCATGTTTTAAGAACTTTGTGCTGTAATTCTATAAAATGAAAATTAATTTTTGTAGTTGGCTCACATACTCATAATGTCATTTATGATGTCTTTTGATGATTTCATTAAAAACAGACAATTTTGTGAACAGGTAACTTTGGATGGATTTTTCTAAAGTTCAGTCTCTGCGTAGATTATCAGGTTCATGCTTTGGGCTTGGGCCACAGATTATAATAATACTTGCAACAGCTTCACCAAGAATGATGTACACAGTAGTAATTATAATACATCACTAAACCAAAGACCTCTAGATAATTTGACTCTAGGCATTCACACAATCACACGCACGCAAACACAAGCCAACAATCCAAGTTTGGAGAAAATCGCTCTTACACATATAAATTCATATTGTATCACATATATCTGAGACCCTCAACCCTCAACATAATACATAAAAAAAAACAACTTACATTAAGGAACAAATAACTAGCAAAATTAAGTTCAGGGTACATAGGCCTATCAGAGTAAATCGATCACTCACACATTTCATTTCATTCTTCGTCAGTGGGACAACAAATCTAAAACAAGGTCCACACTCGTCTTTGTTCTGTCTCTCACAGTCACAGAGCATAAAGCTTGCCCAAATCCATTCTCTAATCACAATGTGCAGCAAATTGTACAACGAATCAGCAGTGAAAACAACAACAACATCCACATGAAAGTTCTCGTAACAGAATTCATGTTGGTAGCATCCTCATACTTACAAATTTTTAATTGTTTTTTTCAAATTTTTTTATTCCCCAATCGACACAATTTAGCCTCATACAACAGATAGTACGAGTAAGTAAAAGTGCTTATATTTATGTTTTCCTCTGTAAACTCACGTTATGACTTCACAATACCTACTTTGGCTGGTATGTCAAGTTGAGGTTACCATTTTGTCCCCAGAGGGACTTACAATGTTGTAGCCTGTTGGGTACATTCTGCTCAGTCATATATTCTGTCTCTCCAAAATGCCAGAAATCCATTTTCAGGTCAGCGGACTGAGGAAAATATGGCAAAGAACACAACAGCATATCTGACAGAGCTGGGAATCAAACTCACAACCTTTTCATTACAAGTCCAACACCTCAACTACGATACTCCAAAAGTAACAAGTATACTTATCCGCTGTTCAGATATGTTCTACAATGTTTTGTAAAGAAATATAATTCTAGAAACCCATGACTGAACGACAAGACCAGAACTAAATTAATCCACAAAATGTGACCCCTTGTAACATTCAATCATTCAGACTTGTGTATGTGATCTCTGAAGTAATCAGACCAATTCATAACAGAATAAAAACATGAAAAGTACACTAAAATAAAAGTGCATGTCTTTCAAGCAGACTCTTGTTATTGCTTTCATACCACTGGCAAGAATTTTTTTAAACTTCCAATTGCCAAAGTGTGTTCAGCATGCAAAATGGGCACACAAGACCACTAGGTATTTTTCAGTTATCTGACACGATTTGGTGTTCAATTCTACTGACCTTATCATCTATATATATGTAAAAAACAAAACCCTGAGAACATTCCCTACTTACCCTTCAACCGTACTTACAATAAAGTAATGTTTTAAGTCCCCATCCACACAGTTTAAGTTTATCAGGGCAAACCCAAGATGTGGGAATATTACATCTCCGCAGAAAGAGAACACACTTGCTAAAACATCTTCCCCATTAGAAAATTGTTGTATCTTTTTTGTGCCAAGCACAAGTCAAACCATTACATCACACATGCCCTCCAACAGACTCTTCACAAACCAAGAATCGAACCTGGTACTTAAAGATGAGATGCTAATATTGTAAGGGAAAGATCCTTAGCTCAAAGCTAACAAACCGTTTTAATGTAAGGCAGTTTAAAACATATATAGAAGGGCAAAATAACATGAACATGGAAAACTCGAAATCAGGGATAGCCTGTACAATTTGCCATTCCCAGACTGATTGATATCTCTTTTCATTTTTTGTTATCGGTTAACCCGAATTAAGGACGAGTCAAACACATTTAATTTGTAACTCCCCAACGTGTTTGAGTTATCTGTGCCTAACTGTATCAACTTAATTTTTTAAAAATATAGCAATTAATGCATCATCCTGACAGAATGTTGAGACTTACATAAGTCCTGCTGAAGTTACTCTGATATCCAGAAGACAAGAAAGTCTCTTATGTCCAGAAGATATTTATGAAAGTGATGAAAATATGAAGACTTATGGCTCTTGGTGAAGCAGCTCCGACATCCAGGAGATATGAATGGGAAGGGATGCAAATGATGAGACTTATGGCTCTCAGTGAAGTAACTCTGACATCCGAAAGATATGAAAGGGATGCAACTGAGACGCAAGGAATGTTGCCAATACGGTACACAGAATATTACCATACATGTTAGGTTGAGCATCATCACGCATTGTTATTCAAAACCTCATTTTCATTAAACTTTTAGCAATGCTGGAAATGTTCACCCCCTTTCTCTCTGACCAGAAGAATATTGCACAGACTTGTCCTCTTTTCACCGCTAAGTTTGTTTGGCAGAGGAAATTGCTGTTAGCATTAAATAGCAGGTCAGGACTATAAGTTTCTACTATCTAAAGCGTACAATCACCCAACACATGAAAAAGACAAAGAAGGCGAAAAGTGCGATGTACAGCCACAGTTTCCAGTGTCCGGCTTTTGTGATCCCACGCAACCGGCCCATCGTTTTGCCCAGCAAGCCCCCAGACGACTCAAAGTCTTCATCCTGTTGAGTAGAGGAGAAAGACGGGAACCTTGAACAGAGGTGAGATTCTCAGTAATAATTAAGTGAGGATGAGTGGAAAATATTTTTCGACTTGATGAGAGCAAAGTATTGGAATGTGTGTTTGAAGGCAAGAGTGTGCCAGTGTATGCGCGCGAGTGTGAACGTGAGTGTCATGTGTATGCACACACAGTGTCAATACAATAGAAAGAGAGTTAATAAGTGTATATGCTTGTGTTTACTATTGTATGTGTCAGAGAGAGAGAGAGAGAGAGAGAGAGAGAGAGAGAGAGAGAGAGAGAGAGAGGGAGAGGGAGGGGGAGAGAGGGAGAGAGAGAGGGGGAGAGAGAGAGAGGAGAGGAGAGAGAGAGAGAGGAGAGGAGAGAGAGAGGGGAGAGAGAGAGGGGAGAGGGGAGAGAGAGGGGGGGAGAGAGGGTGGGAGAGAGAGGGGGGGAGAGAGAAAGAGGGGAGGGGGAGAGAGAAAGAGGGGGGGGAGGGGAAGAGAGAGAGAGAGAAAGAAGGTGACTGCATTTGTAGAGCACATTCAAAGATTAAGTTACATTACATAACACAAAATCAATGCATTGATCCACATTATCACTCATATTATTCAGAAACGGTATCATTAGTTTACGTTCTGTAATTTCTCAAAAGTATAGCCCATGGTAGCCAAGGTAAAATTTAATACTTAAATAACAATGCACCCATCCCCCTGCAAAAAACCCCCCCCAAAAAACAACAAAAAACAAAACAAAAACTAAAACAACCAAAATAAAAAAACCCATTAACCCTTCAGAGACATTCAACATGGAATTACAGGAATAGGAGATCAATTGTGAGGCAGCGTGGTGGAATTAAGCTCTCGTCAATTTTTGGGCATTTTGGGTTATTGGTATCATCTTAAAGCTTGTTCACTTGTCTTTATTTGGATGAAAAAAATATCCATTTATCTTGAATACAAGCCGAGATATTTGCAAAAGAAAGAGGTGGGGGTCACCTGTTTTCGGAGGTAAAATTAGTGAGAAAATGGCCACCAAATAGTAGTTATTTCCTTAGCTTAAGAGTCTGTGGTAACCGAAAATTTACATTTTTGTGCCTTTACTCAAGGTTTTTCAGAAAAATGCACACAGATATTGAGTTCTTTAATGGGCATGAAAGGTGTTGAGCCAAAAAACAAAAATCTGATAAAAACTCACAAACCTGCGGAAAAATGCAAGTTTCTTCATTTTGATTATTTTGACGAGAGCCTGATTCCACCACGCTGCATCACAATTGTTTATTTAGTCAAATTCCAATTTCTTGCAAAACTTTTGTGCTAATGTTAACATAATAACAACCGTGGGAGCATCAAACTTTAGACGAATCCTTACCAACCACTGAACACATTATTTTACTGTAATTTACATCAGAGGTGAAAAGAGAATTCCAGTATCTCATTTTACAGACTTCAACATAAGTTATGGACCACCTTGACAGACAGTCCTGATTTTGTGAAGACAGCAAGGAATGTCTCAAAATTTTTGGCTCTGAAAGTGTTAATGGGTTACCACAGCGTACTGCAAAGCTTCCCAAAGGGGCAAAAACACCACATGCAGTACTGTAAATCCTCAGGGAATTTTAGCCAAATTTGCAGTTTTTTTAATTGACTTTAGTGCAGCACCACAGACATTCCAGTCAAATTTTCTGGTGCACGTCATAAAAGGATTTACAGTCTCTAACCGTGCTCACTTTGGTGGCAATATAAGCCGCCGTTTGAGCAAAATCCAGAATCGCATCAACATACCACCAAGACGAAAGCTGAGAGACTTTGATCTTGCCAGAGCTATGGCATGGCTGCAGGATGGAGTTGGAGCCCGAGAAGTTGCCAGAAGGCTTGCAGTCTCACACTCTGTCATTATTTGCTTGAGGCAGTGCCATCAAGCCACTGGATCAGTCTAAGAACGCTCACGTGCAGGTCGACCCAAGAAGAGCACTTAGAGTGTTTGCAAGTGGTTGTTAACTTATGTTGAAGTCTTTATATCTAAATCTCACCTATCCCAGGAAAAAGCTAGAACTCTCACTTACCATTTGACTTAAGAGCATGTGCTGTTCCTTTACCTCCACCCCTATGTCTATTGACAACTGCAAATAAAAAGAGAGAAAGACTCATTAGAAAGAAGGAAATTTGAAACTGAGTGGGATGTGTTTGAAGGCAAGAGTGTCAGGCCGAAGAGCTAGAACTCAGATGGCCGCTAGACTGGAAAAGTAAAGTAAAGTACGCCAAAAGTGTGTCAGTGTAGGGGTGAGAGTGTGTGTGTATGAGCACATACAGATGATAATTAAGCGGAATGACCCTCCTGCAAGAAAGAAAAAATGACAACCAAAATACGTACATATGGAAAAATGTTGATGATATAATATTGCCAGCCCTCTATAAGACAACTTTATAAGGATCTGCTACTGAAAGGCAAGTGCTTAGAAATACGTCAGACATGAAAAATTTCTGCTACTGCTGTGTATAATATACAACAACTTTTATTTGTAGTGTTCTTTTAGAGGCTTGTATCTGGCCTGCATTTTTGCGTAGTAGTGTTAAACAATAAGAAATCGTCGAGAGCGCTCAATATTATATTCCTTCGACAAGCTTTGAAACTCTCCAATTTTGGAGGTTATGTTGAATAAATTGACAGGCCGTAACTATCCCTTTAGAGTAGTGCATCACACAATGGGTTTACCACTCCTATCACAGCCAACGATGTCCAACTGGGGATTTTAACCAATGTGATCCACACTGCAGTCAGACATGATACCAAAATCACCGTAAATGTCAAATCCATTTCAGTAGAGGATTTATTTATAGAAAAATACAACTCTGCTTTTCAGTCAAAATACAACACCGTACCGATTTTAGGGCTTTGACTTTTCCGCTGAGTTCACTTTCCATCTGTTCATTCTCCTCCTCCAGCATACGGGATGTGTCCTGGTACTGGGGCTGTGGGTAGTTCCCATTGTTGGCTGTAGAAAGAAAGAAAACGTTAAAGAGATCAACAGAACAGGATGATTGTATATATAATGGTAAAAAGGGGGGAGGGGTAGTGTGCTGAACTTTACATTCAAGCTTTGAAAATAAGGGGTAAGATACCTCAAAACTATATTTCATGCAACAAGAGAGAATGAAATAATCGAATCTTTAGCATTGATATGATCAACTATCCACAAAACAAACATGTTTTCAGATGTCAAGCTTATTGAAGAAAGGCTGTGTGGGTCAAAGCATTTTATAAAAATGCAAGGACTGGGTTAACCAGACTAAGGAACATTGCTATTTTAACCATTTCATTGCCTTATGACATACCTGATATATGCCACAAAAATGCGTAATCAATAGCTTTATATGTCGACGGCACTAAAGCTGACATTGAAAATTTGCAATTTTCGATTGCCTCTATGTGATGTTATATGTACGACAAGCTAAACGCCCTGGCTCTAACTAATTCTTCAGCACAGAGATGTAGCAACAAGCACAGTGTGGATTCATATTCGGGAATTAAAAATTCCCATATCGGTACGAAATTTGCTAGTTACTTTAGAATTTACTTTACTTAGGTCATAGGTCTGTCTAATTTTGGGGATGACCGCATGCTCTCATAAATTATTATTATATATATGTGAGGCAGCATGGTGAAATCAGGCACTCATTAAAATCATGAAATTGAAGAAACTGGCATTTTTTCGCTGGCGTGGCAATTTTTATTAAATTTTTTGTTTTTCGGCTTAACACCTTTAATGCCTATTTAAAAAAAACATTTCAGAGCGGATTTTACTGAAAAACGTTGATTAAAGGCACATAAATTACAAATTTGCAGTTTTCAAAGACTCTCAAGCTCTGGATGTCATGAAACTTTGGCAGTCATTTTCTCGCTAGTTCTACCTCAGAACCGGCGGCCTGTCCGACATCCTGCTCAGTGTCGGTAGCGAACCTTTTATTTTACTGGAGAGGCAAAAAAACGTTTCTACATTATTATTATTTGTTCCCAACCGCATGCAGTTAGCCACCAAGGGCCTAGGTGATTTTATCGGCCTGCGAGAGGTCAGGGGGGAGTCCTCGTCTCACGCCCACACCGGGGTGGGAGCTATTCTCACCAGGAGAGGGGGGGGGGGGAATAGAATAGCCGGGGTGAGAATAAAGGTGGCCATTTGCTCAAAAGATAAGATTTTCCTCCAAATCGACAACAGTCGACTCCCGTGCTCGAGAGCTGGCCTGCCCGTTGGCGATTCTAGTCGCCTCGCACCCTCAGAGGAGTGAGAGAGGGAGGCGAGTTTTGTCGAGGAGTGCTCAGTGACAGTAGGGGTCCTATGATGCCCGAAACGGAAAAAAACCAGGTGACAATAGTATCGGAAGGACTTCTGTAACGAGCTACCACTCCAACCTACGCAATAAAGAAGGGACTTTTGAGTGGACTGTGTAAAAGATAGGGTTTAGTATTTGGTCCGGCAATAAAGAAAGTAAACTGCTTTTGTATTTCCTTGTGTTCTCTTGCCTTCCATTGTCTCACTACCTGGAATGTATATATATTATTAGTCTATAATTTGGTTAGAAACGGAACAAAACCTGGTAAACCAGCGCTCCCAAACAGCGGAAGTAAATAAAGTCTGCAAGGTTAACAATGGCTGCGCCTACATGAAAGTCTACTAATCACCGACTCAGATCTTCAAAACATTGAAATGGGCCTAAAAATGCGTAAACTGCCGTAATTTTGTCGTGATCGGGTGTCCGTTATAACAGTAACAGTGGCTTCCGGTCTTCCATTATGATTTTGAAAGCCATTGAGTATAAATCTGACTTTTATAGGGGTCGCTTGTTACGGAAGTCCTCCCAGTTTCAATTTTACTCGCACCAATATTCAATATTATCCTCACCCCGGGTGAGAATAATCACTCCTGGCAAGAATCTAAATCTAGACTCTAGATGAAGATCTTCTAGATCTAGATCTAGATTATATAGACTAGAGACCAGGCCGTACCGGTGATTTTGCAGTTTCGTTCGTTAAAGTCAAGAGTAGGGGGGGGGGGGGGGGGGTGTGTGTTTCATACCTATAAAAGTATGGGAGTGTATACAGACCCGGTAACCGGGAACAAAGTCACAAAGTATACAGACCCGGAAGGGGAACTCTTTGTGACTTCGGAAAGTTTCAGCGGCCTCTTGGCTCAGGGTAGACCTAGGTTCTTCTAGATCTATGGCCTTGGTCTAGATCTAGACAGACAGTGATTTATATCATTGATCTACATTCCAGGCTAGCCTAGGTCTAGATCTAGATCTAGATCTAAATCAAGATTGCGGATGTCTTTTCGGTGAACGATCGTTTTTCCTCCGTTTTGGAGTTGGACGAATCACAATTTGAAGAAAAGAACAATCATAATGTCATAAACTTCAATCGAGCAGTGACCCTATTGACTATTTCCATGCCTCTCTCTCTCTCTCTCCTCTGTGTATCGCTCGCCTTCTCTTTTTCTTTGTTTGTCTCTGTCCTTTTCTCCCCCCCCCACCTATTTCCCACTCTATCTTTCTCTCGTTCCCTCCTGCCAACTGGGACTGGGGCATGTCATCTAGTCTCTAGAATCTAGTAAATCTAGCACTTCTGCTCTCCCTCTCTGTCTCTCTCACACACACACACACTACTGGGTCTGGGCGCTGAAACTTTCCGAAATCATAAAAGAGTTCCCCTACCGGGTCTGTATACTTCGTGACTTTGTTTCTGGTTACCGGGTCTACACTTCGTAAAAGTATGGAGGTCGGGGGGGGAGGGGGTTCAGGGGCCCACCTGAATTTTATCCTAATTTGATGTTTTGCAGTTAGGTTGCATCCCTACTCTTTGTGTAGCCTATTTCAAATATTATTTGGTCATCAAGACTTCTGGATTTCTTCTCTGGATGTAAACAAATGGATCATGGGCTTTAAGGAACGGAACTATAAGATCACCGCCGTTCCGTGTACGCCAACCAGTACGGTGGGGTATCATCATCATGCCAACATTAATTAACTTATCTTATGTTTATGAAGAAAAAGTAGAACAAAAATAACTTTTACCCATGTACGATCGCCTCATCTTGATTCCCAGGCCTACACAATCCTATAAATTTAAGTGTGGTTGGAGGAAGATGTAATTACAAAATATGGTTGGATAGAACTCTCTCAGTCAGTTGTCAGCATGAATGACGGGGAAATAAAAATATTGAAGACAGCGACGTGTACTTCCTGTTGTCAAATGTAGCGAAAGAGATGTAACTCCATAAATGAAGAGGGCTTGTGGTTCACCTACAACACAGAATTCTACACTTAAGTGTAGAATTCTGTGCCTACAAGTAATTTCGGTTTAAAATATCATATTTTTGTTTTCTCAAAATTCATAAATTGTGGCCCCCGTAATAAGATTTAAAAGTATACCGCAGATAAATCCAGTGATTGTTTCATGGTCATGAATTTAGTTTTAACACTACAAAAAAGCTACTCATGATCAAAATATTTTTATTTGACAATAAATTCAATCTGATTTATAATTTATAGTGAGTGAGATGAATATTCACTCACGTAACTTGATCTTTTAAAATTAAACCAAAAATATATTTGTAGCTTTATATAAGCTTTCTTTTCAAATTATTACAAGACAGAATGAATAGTCAGTACATGTATATTATAATATAATATATTGATATTATTAGGCCTGTGTTGGCACCAACAAGGAGTTTAGAACTTTTAATCTCCTTGGTTGGCACTGAGTTCCCCTGATTAAAAAAAAAAATCAGCTACATGGTTTTCACACGAAGAACTTTTCTTGTGCTCTTCTCAAAACGAAAACAATGGAAGTAGTCTTGCCTTCGTTTCGCTTCGCTTCTTTCTTACTTCTGAAGTTCTTCGCGACCTGCACCGCTCTGTAGCCTGTCTGTTGTCCGTTGGGCTTCGCCACCGACAAGTACAAGATAAGATGGCTATGATGAACAGTTTGAGGAAAGTTGGCCCTGCAGTGCAACGTTATTTTACGCTAATACGTATGTAGACAGTCCTTATCTGTTGAAAAAGAAGTTTGTCCTTATATGTTTTGAAATCCTTGTAACATATTGACTGCAATTTTTGGCATCTCTAATAAATTTGTTGTGCATCGTGATACGTTTGTCGTAGCAGACAGAGTGACACCAACAGTGGTGTCTGTCATTCAATTTCAGTGACAATCAAAATGCCAATGCTCCAGCTCAGCCTCAGTGTCTCTCCACCCGGACTCCACTATCACTAAAATTAGATATTTATAATAGGCCTAAAGGCTAAAAATGAGGAAAACATGTAATTGAAGGCTGTAGTGTTGACATGCGATTAAAAGTAGAAATGATGCAAACTATTTTTAGGTAAGGCGCCCATCTTGTTTGACGTCAGACCAGGATACCCCTCCGATCACGTGACTACATCTAAGTATAGACAACCGCACGGCACCAAAGATGGAAGTGTCTATGTATATATTATGCTTAATCTACACCATTTTTCGGAAGTTCTGATAGCTGATTTGATAGCGCGTCTGCGTTTGATGTCGAGCAATGACTTTTGGAGCGGTTCGATTCCGGTCCCGGACAGTTTTTCTTTTCTCTTTTCCTCCTCCCGACTGACCAACAGTTCCATAAATTATAGGCCTAATTTGTAGAGTTACTTTGACTTTGAAGTTGTTGTTTATTTTTTAAAATGTATTAGTGATTAAAAATGCAGGAGGGGGGGGGGGGTTGGTAGATCTAAATTTAGATATCTAGATCTAGATCTAGAACTAGATATTATCTAGTCCTCCTGCGTCTTTACGGCAATTTTCGTGCGGTCTTCCATCATGTCCAGGTAGGCCTAATAGATCTAGATCTAGATCTAATCTAGTCTCTAGAATCTAGATCTAGATCTAGATTCTAGATCTAGATCTAGATCTAGATCTAGGCTAGAAAATCCGAAATGTTACCGAAAACACGTCGTTCCATGTGGGTATCCCAGGAAGTGATGACATTACATTACTAAAATTAGCAGCCAATCAGAAAGATGCGTCATTTCTAAGTTTAACGGCATGTGTAGTGTTGTCTTTTGTGCTACACTTTAACAGCACTAGCCTTCACGAGGTGTTACACATGACTACACACAACATACTCTCTCTCCCTCTCTGTCTATCTGTCTCCTCTCTTTCTCTCTCTCTGTCTCTCTCTCTGTCTCTCTGTCTCTCTCTCTCTTTCTCGCTCTCTTTTTCTCTCTCTCTCTCCCCCCCCCCCCTTTCAAATCAAAAATGATTTTATTTTGGTAAGGGAGTCTCTTACTGAAAAAGAAGATGACCTTCAAAGTTAGGCATTTGAAAGCCTATTTTTTACTACTTAAATGTTGCTCGTACAGTAGAACATGACTATTATAGTGGCACCCGCTGCAGTGGGACTATCCTTACAGCGGGACTTAACAGGAATCCCCTTTTTTTCTACGTAAACTCAGTAACTTAATTATGCCTGGGTTTGGTTGGGCAAGGAAAGTCCCCAACTTGAACACAGCGGAAGAGACCGAGCGAGCGTATTCCAAACAGGCAGTCAGCAGTGCAGCGTTGTGATTGGCCAGTCTAATGATGAGTGAGGTGGGGCAGGCGGCAGAGAGAGATGGTGCGGAGAGCCACTCCAATAGTGATGTTGCCATGCCTAGGCTGCTAGGCCAAAAAGTAACAGAAGAGGAGAGCATGTAGTGTGTGATTCCTGATTAATTGAAAAGCGCTCGTTGATGTTCAGGCACATGCACGCTTCCACTTCTCCAGTTCTACAGAAGGGGATTTGTAATAAATTTATACGCCAGTGCCATCTTGTTATGTTTGGGATCCAGACCAAAAATAATGGGAAACAGGTCATAGAATGGTCTCGTTTTGCTTACTGCTGACATTCCACTCATATCACACATAAAGCGAGAACAAAATTAATGAAAGAAGTAAGTCAAGGTCATGAAGGGAGTGAAGCAATTACTGTGAACCTAGCTCAAGGAGCCCCCGAACCTAAGTACCCAGTTACGGTGTATGTAGATACTGAGACTCACTATGTGCCCGGTTACCGTGTACGTAGACACTCCCTTTTGGTAAATTTATTTTTGCGTTTAGACCCACTTGCTGATAGATCAGATGCACTTTTTTTGGAGCTAAATTCCAGTAATTTTTGCTGCAGAACACATTATATTATATTAATATATGACCACTAAAACCCTCGCAAATCAATTGTTTTCAAGAAAATTCAAACTTAAAATTGCAAAACATCCCATTATGGTGAAATACAGGGGGAGCATGCTGCCCCTGAAAACCCCCATGCTGTTAAAAACAAATCAAATATTACTGCGCAAATGGTCCTATTGTAATAGTTCATTACAAACATATCCATAATCTCATAAACTAATTATTCGCGGTTGATATAAAGTCAGAATGTGTGTTACAAGCAGAGAGAAAGGAACAAGAAAAGTGCTTTAGAATGGATACCTGCACATTAGATGGGTCCATGAGTAAATTAATACCCGATTTTTAGATTTTGTTTCATTTTCCTTCTATTTTATTTACTATAAAATACTTCCCGTAATTTATTAGCAGACTGTAATAACTGTGTGTATTGTAACTTTTAAAACCACAAGGAAATCTCGTACACATATGTTCTAAATACATACATATAAAACATCTGTACCTCTCATGATGTAGTTTAGGTTCTGTTCTTTTTACCAAATTAAATGTTGTAATGTATGAGGACATCTTGCATGTGGAGAACTACCCCCCCCCCCCCCCCTCCAAAAAAACCCCCAAACTATTTGCTCCACTGAAAGGTTCAATTGAGTACTATTCAGTCTGTCACTGGAGGAAGCAAATATTCTCGTCTATTGTAATTAATTAGAATGCACAAGACCTGTGTCTTAAAATTTTGTAGCATCAGATTCTGGCGAATTCGACATCATCTCTGTTGGGTTTAGGGGTTTTTTCGCGATAAAATATAATTGACACTGATTTGGTTTTTGATGTTTCTTGTATTTTTTGTTTTTATCAATTGTGGTTTTTTTCTCGAATGTGATAGATCAAAATGTCCTGAGCCTGAATCAACAACGATGGACTGCATCCTTAGCGGAGACAAGGAAACTTTTAGACAAAGAGTTGCAAGGCATCAGGGAAGCTGGTACTTTTAAGTCAGAGCGTGTAATTACGTCGAGTCAGGGCCCTTCCATTCTTGTTGATGGAAGCCAAGGAGACATCCTGAACTTCTGTGCCAACAATTACCTGGGATTGTCAGTAAGTTGTCCTTAACCCTTTGAGCCCTGACCGCCCCTGAGGCTACCATGCCCCTCTGCCTGAGTGATAATATATATATATATATATATGTATATATATTACTAACATTATGATCATCAGAATCACATTCCATATCCCACTCACGGTAGTCCTTGTCATTACTAGTATCTAATTCAGAAAAATTTTCAAAATAATCAATAAAGTCTTGTGTAGTAAATGCTGTTTTCTGTATGGGTTTTGTCGAGCAGTCAGGTGAGATTCAGGATGGAGTCGCTTCACCGGTGTACCGGTGGCTTGGCATATGGGCATTTTTATGCGCCACCGGTGTACCGGTAGCAAGGGCTGAAAGGGTTAATGGTAAACTATTATTGGACTGTATATATAAATGGGCCCTGGCCATTTCCTTTGAATTAGTTTGATGATTGGTGAGCAGTTTTTCTGTTTGCCTGATTTTGTTTATTGTATAATTGTATTGAGATCTGAACTGTTATCATACCAGTATTTGATAAAAAGGTTTAGAAAGTGAAAAGTTATAAGCACGAAAGGAACAGAAGGTCAGATTTGACAACTGGTTTCTTTACCCTCTGCCAATCTCAATGGTATTAGTACTTGCATCTTTACTGCTTAGTGTAAGACTCCAGCGTATACCATTTCGAAAAGTGATATATATGACAGTGTCTTACACTGAGCAGTTGGTCTGTTTTTTTGTAATGTGTATTGAAATATTTGAAAAGAAAAGGCTAGACACCCTCACACATCTGTAAAACTTGAGCAGCACTTTATGTAGTGTTTCTTCTTGTGACTTCACTTACCTCTATGTATCTGCCTTCAGAACCATCCTGCTGTTGTTGAGGCTGGCAAGAAAGCTTTGGACAGCCACGGTGCAGGCCTCAGCTCTGTACGCTTCATATGTGGAACACAGGTAACGTCCATTATCTTGTCTAATGCTTATCTTTCTTTATGCCCAATTTCCAAGAAAGAACAAGCATGTTATGGACAATCCTAAAAACAAAACTCACTGACCATGAAGTTCAGTATATAATATACAGCTACTAGGGCAAAGTTCAAAATTTCCTACCTACTGAATATGTTTATTGTGTCCCGCGCGCCGTGATGACCTTATGCTGTTGCGAGCGCAGTAAAACACTAACACCCCCCCCCCCAAAAGTGTATTGATATATCCTGAGTTTCAGATAAGACCTGTATCATGTTTTTTTAGTGTTATTATTTTGATTGCACATACCTTATTGCTGTTGCACACATGATGTGGGTGAGTGCATAAACTTGAAAAACAATCTTTTTTTTTTTGGGGAGCATTTTTGCTCTTAGCCACTTAGAATTTTTTATTCTTCAGGATATCCACAAAGACTTGGAAGAAAAAATTGCCAAGTTCCATGGAAAAGAGGATGCTATCTTGTACATCAGCTGTTTTGATGCCAACGCCGGGATATTTGAGGTGCTAATGAGTCCAGAGGACGCCATTATCTCTGATGAGCTCAATCACGCCTCCATCATTGATGGCATCCGCCTGTCCAAAGCACAGAGGCTACGTTATAAGCACAGGGATCTGGCAGGTGATGTCCTGTCATTTTACAAGCTGCTCTTTTTAATTTCGCCTTAGTTTCTGTCTTATTTATGTCGAGACAGATATTGACAAAAAAGCACCCATGGGTATCAGTGACTAAATTATTGTTTGCAAATTTATTGAAAGTGGATGAGGGGGCTCTCTTGGCCTAGAGGTTAAGGTGTTCGCTTTTCAAGCAAAGGTCTCGGGTTTGAATCCGGGAAGCAACGTAAACATTTTCTTCTCTAAAATTGTCTCCCTTCACCTCCTTTAATGCTCTCTAGCAATGTTCTGTTGTCTGCTTTCGTCTCCACTTTCTGCCCCCATCTCCTCACCTCCTTTGCCCCCTTCTCTGGGCTCCTGACTTTTTCTGTACCCTTTCTACAACTACTCCTTGGCTCCTTCTTACTGCTGTCTTTCAGACACACCCCTGATCTTCTGGTAGGAAAGATCTATACCTAGCCTACAAGGGCAAAAGATCTTGGAGGTCCCATGTGCAAGCTGTGCTCGTTAAAGATCCTTTGGTTGTCTAGAATTGATAAGAGAGGGCTTCGGCAGCTACTAGGGCAAAGTTCAAAATTTCCTACCTACTGAAAATGTTTAATGCGTGCCGCGTGCCCTTATGACCTTATGCAGTTGCGAACGCAGTAAAACACTTACACACCCCCCCCCCCAAAAAAAAAGTGTATTGGGCATTTGGAGTGTTGTGTCGGATGTATAGTCTTTGAGCTGACAAATTTTTTGGGGTTATAAGGTGGCCAATGCTGATTTGAAATTTAAAAGACAGTACCTGTGTTTTAATGTTTGTCTTCAGAAAATCCGTCTTCACCCCTTTACACTCACACACACACACTCACGCGCACCACTCGCAGTCACACTCACACACCCCGCCCACAACTCCTTCCATCTCTGCATCCTTGAAATATCTGTGAAGGGACATGTGGTTTGTGAGTTTAACTCCATAAAACTGTATGGTGAGAGTGTCAAGGTCTGTCCCAAGGAAAGATTAAGCGACATGTTACTTTCTAACTCATCGGAGTATTGTTTACCTTGTGTTCTTGCAGACTTGGAGTCCCATCTGATTGCGACAAAGGACTGCAGACAGAGGCTGATTGTCACAGACGGGGTGTTCAGCATGGATGGCAATGTGGCCCCGCTCACGTAAGTCTCTGTTGTTTTGTCCCTGTGGTTTTATGCACCCCACATAATTTAGCAAAATTGATCATTTTTTGCATAATTTCTGATTATTTTCCTTTATCATTCTTTGTTAAAATTAACAGAATCGCATAATTTCACATTTTTGGTTTCAGTTTGCATAATTTCAGAATTTTTCTTGCATAAAATGACGAGGACTGGTTGTTGTTGTTGTTTTTGTTGTTGGTAGTTATTAGCACATCACTCTAGGAAACTGAAAGGCCCTGTTATCTGCAATGAGTTGTGACGTTTGTAATCATTACAAGTTCCTTTACCTTACTCTCTTCAATGTGCTAAGTTCAGAAGGTCTATGACTTCTCCTCCTCTTTGGATGTTGAAAGCCATCATCAGTTTATAACGGATGAACTGTTCTTCTTCTTATTGTTATTATTAATGTTTTTATATTTGTTGTTGTTATTATTTTCATTGGTCCAGTAGCTGTTATACTTTTGCACTTCTGTTTGATGTCATGTTGCAGTAAAATGTGTGTGTGTGTGTGCTTGCAAAGATCTTTAACTGTTCAAGCATCTGTGATATAGCTGTTTGGCATTCTTACTTTGTCATCACACACATAAATATGTTCTATTCCAGTGTCTGTTTCATATGTTTTTCTTTTTCGCTCAAAGAGCTAGAAATAATAGGTGGGAGTAGAAGAAAGTTTCCTCTGTCTTTGCTTTGTGGTCTGTGTAGTGCTTTTTTTTCCCTTTGTGGCTGTCAACTGGTTTGTTGCTGATGTTTTGAGTGAGTGGGAAGCAGGTTGTTTCGGGAGATGATTTGGGGGGATTTTTAGTGAACGTGGTGAGGTTGGTAGGTGCTCTGGTATGGTTTGCTCCTTCTTTCCTATCAAACATGTATTATCTTTATCTTTCCTTTTTCTTTTCTTTGTGTATTACTCTAGTGGCACCTCTAATCCTTGGCACTTACATGACGCATTTGCATTACAACTGTCAGTAAAACTTGCCAAAATTAAACTTTAGAAGGATGTGCCTTGCAGTGTTTGGACATGGAGCAATACCTTGCTGTTCTGTTACAGCCACTTTGTTGAATTAGGCTTTTAAAAACAATATTGTGAGTGGTTTGGGGCACCCCTGGTAGGTCCTACTTCTTAACTTTCTCTTTGTTTTTTTTGTCTGTCTGTGTGTCTGTCCGTCTTACATTTCCAAGCAATAAATGGCCATTGTTGTGTCAGTGTGCTTCTCTTTACTCAAAAAAAAAAAAAGAATAAAAGAATACATTTTTTTAGGTTGCTGGTTTGGTGTGATTTTTAAAATGTGATATCATACTGTTATAATTTGGAGAACAGATATGTTAAAATAAAAGGAAATGCAAGGCCTAGAGTCACATTTTGTTCTGTTAGGTCTGTGTGTATTTCATAAACTGCATAATATGATAGTATTAAAATGTTCACTCGTTAAAAAAAAATCTTGTCTCAGGGACATCTGCGATCTTGCAGACAAACATAATGCCATGGTCTTCATAGATGAGTGCCACTCTACTGGATTCTTTGGACCCACAGGAAGGTGAGAGATAGACAAAGGATAAAGAAAATGTTGTAGATTAAATGTTTATATTTATTTTCTTCAATTTTTTTCTCCCTCTTTCAGTAAGTTCTTTACTGATATTTTCTCCTCTTTTAAACAACACCAGTAAGACAACCTTGACACTGTTTTCAATTAAAGAAAATATATCTGCTGACTAAATGGGACAGAAAATAAAACCAAAGACAAAGATGTGAAGACTACTTTTTGATTTGTTTAATTTACTCAATTGCAATGATACCCCCTTGCAAAGTTCTCAGACATCACTAGATCTAGTCTTTTACTCGTATGTCTAACTGAAGTGAAGACATTGAACATCTAGTAGGTTCCCAAAGTGAAAATAGTTTTAATACATCGAAACTATTTCCGTTAATCTTTTTCATTTCCAGTAAGGAAAATGATTAATAAACTAAAGCTTCGAACAAATATTAAAAAGCCTTATTAAATTGTTGTCATGGAAAGAATGTGAAATCTCGATCCTGTCATGGTCAATGTTTGGGACCAGAGCTATGCGAGTTAATCCCATGTTGTTTGTGAGTGTCATAGAAATATCCACTCAATTTATTTCTGCTTCACTCCATAGAGGTACGGAGGAGTACTTTGGTCTGGACGGCCGAGTGGACATCATCAACTCTACCCTTGGCAAAGCTCTGGGAGGCGCCGCTGGTAGGTCGATATTTTGCTGAATCCCTGTTGTACGAAGTTTTTATGATGGCTACTCATTCAGAATTTTTTTTAGCTAATTTGCTTGAAAATTGAGAGTTCTCTTGTTCGTTGTTTTTGTCAGAACCTAGGAATTGTACACAGAGATCTAATATTAGACAAAAAAGGGAATATAAAATTTGACATTTAGTGATAATTTGACAATTAATTTCTATAGAGCCCATTCCCTGGAGGCTCTAGGCATTTCACGAGAAAATGAAATTTAAATGGCTTTTAAAAAATAATGACAGGTTTTATGCATACTAGCTCATTCGATGTACAGCAATCCTCTCAAATAAATAAAAAACAGTATTTCAGGGCAAATGAAATATGCCATTGCTATCAACATTATTACAACAGTGACATTTTCAACTTAAGCTTCACAAATCAGTTCCCTTAAACATAGAACACACACTCATACTTCAGTGTCGCGGATCAGAGCTATAACTGCAAGATTATAAACCTGCTCTCGAATCAAGACTTCAGCAGACTTATGCTGGAGTCTTATGTGTGACATTCTTTTATGTGAGATAGTCTTATGTAAGATGTTACCTCACAGGAGTGTTGTGCATAAGTCTGCAAAACATTAACAGAAATAAAATCGACACAGTTTCAGTATTTTATCGATGAAGTCATGTTTTTTTATAGCTGGTTTTATGTGGTTTTTAAAATTTAAAAAAAAATAATTTGATCCAGTGTATCTTTGCAGTTAGCAAAACTCTTAAGTTTGGGTTTTCATCATCTGCCACGCTGTGTTGAATATGCCTTTTGGCATTGGGCTTCCTTCAGACAAAAATAGCATGGGTGGTTGGCGGTTGCTCTGGTGTGGTTTGCTTCTTATTTCATATCAAACATCTGTCGTCCTTATCTCTCCTCTTTCTTTTTTTGTGTTTGTTACTCTCTTGTAACACCTCTATTCTTTATGACCACATAGTGCTGCAAGTGCTTTAAAAATACTTGTGAAGTGGGCAGTATGTGAAAAGAAAAAATACTAAAAATGGTTTGTTTCATGTGGCCCACTCAAAAAAAATCGCTCTTGCCTGTTTTCGCAGGGGGCTACACCGCTGGTCCCAAACAGCTGGTGGACTTGTTGAGGCAAAGGTCAAGGCCATACCTCTTCTCCAACACCTTGCCCCCTCCTGTTGTGGCCACTGCCAGCAAGGTAAGAAGACAGGGGACTTTGATGTGTACACCCTGTCAAGTAATTGTAACATGTGATATTGTGGTGAGCTCTCACATTCCTTGCGACTGTCTTGAGTTTAGACTTTTTTTCCTTCTTGAACTGTTGTGCCCGGGAAAAGAGTCAGTCTGGTGAAGTCCTGATTCGAGAGCGGGTGTATAATCTTGCGGTTACAGCTCTGATCGGGGGCACTGAAGTATGAGTGTGTGTTCTGTGTTTAATTCTGATTTATGAAGAGTAAGTCTAAACCATGACTGTTGTAGCTGCCATCTCGTTTTATGTGACTTCGACATGATCTTGTCTTATGTGCATTAATGGTACAATAATATCTTTTTGACTGTAATGCACAGTGAGCATTTTTTGCAAAATGGAAATACGCATGTAAATGGTATTATTTAGTGTTTTTCTTCTTCTTCTCCTCCTCCTCCTCCTCCTCCTCCTCCTCCTCCTCCTCCTCCTCCTCCTCCTCCTCCTCCTCCTCCTCCTCCTCCTCCTCCTCCTCCCCCCCTCCTCCTCCTCCTCCTCCTCCTCCTCCTCCTCCTCCTCCTCCTCCTCCTCCTCCTCCTTCCTTCTTCTTCTTCTTCTTCTTATTACTTTGATTTGCTACTTCTGTCTTTGTGAGTGGTTGGCAGGTGTTTGGATGTACTTTACTCCTGTAATTTCTTTTTCCTGTATAGAAAAAGGGAAAGACAGGGAGTAATGTTAAGGGTGGTTGGTGGGTACTGTGATAAGGTTTGTTCCTTCTTTTGTATCAAACTTCTGTTATCACTATCTCTCCTCCATCTTTTCTTTGTGTTTTATTCTTTAGTAAAACCTTTTGTTTTCGGCTTTTATATATATGACATTATTGTATTGCAAGTGCTGTAAAATTCTTACTTTTTAAACTTTTTCATCCTCTGTTGCCGTTAAACGTCGAGGGGAGATGCAGTTTTCTATGATAGGCCAGCTCAGCAGCTCTTTCCGTTGTGATATTATGTTTTCTCAGGGTGTCCTTTACACCCTCGACCCACCTTTTGTGTGGCCTTCCTTTTCCTTTATAGCCCGAGTGCTTGGTGTTGTAGGCTCTCGAGGCTGGCTGGCCAGGTGACATACGTAACAGGTGGCCCAACCATTTTATTCTCGTCTTTTTATGTAATGCAGGCAGGACTCAATGCCGATAGTTGCTCTTTCTTCTTCATTTCTCTGCCTGTCTCGTCTTGTGATCTCAAGGGTTTTGCGGAGACATTTCATTTCGCATGCAGTGATTTTGCTTTCATGGGTTTTACTTAATGTCCAGGTATGGCTCTGGTGGCATAAGGTTGGTATGAATATGAAGGTGATAAGATGTCTCTTTGTGTCCATGGAGATGTTTGGATGAGATAGGAGGGGTGCGAGCTGATATGTGACAACATTGGCTTCCTTGAGTTCGCATTTCTATTTCGATGTCTATGGACCCGTTTCAGAAAAAGTACTGCCAAAATATTTAAACTCCTTTACCTGTTTCAGTTGTTTACTATTGACATGGATGTTCAGGGAACTACGGTTTCGGTTCACTTTCATAACTTTTGAATTTGATGTGCTTATTTTTGTATTAAATTTCTCGCAACTGTTGTTCAGTTCGGTAGAATGATTTTGGAGGCTTTGTTGGTTTGAATGAATAAGACATTGGTCGTCTGCAAATAGAAATTCATTTAGGCTTCCTGGGCTTTGGTTTGCATCTTGCGTTATTGTGTCCATATATATTATAAACTGGAGGGGAGATAAAACGCATCTCTGTCATACTCCAGATCTTACTTTGAACCAGTCTGTTTTGCCTTCCTTCGTTCTTATTGAGCTTCTGTTTTTGGTATTTAGAGCTCTGACATCCAGCATTTTTCCTTTGACGCTACACTTTTTGAGTGTCTTCCTGAATTTTGCACTGTTTACTCTGTCAAAAGCCTTCTCCTGGTCTATAAAGACGATGTTGGATTTGTTGTTGTGTTCGATTGTTTTCTTGCATATCTGTCTTAATGCGAATACAGCATCCGTGCATCCTCTTCCCTTTCGGAATCCAAACTGACCTTTGCTCAGATTTCTCTTTTCTATAGGTCTTATCTCCTGTTCTAGTATCTTCGCGTATATTTTCCCTGCATGGCTTAATAAAGAGATGCCTCTGTGTGTTGTGCAGTCGCGTTTGTTGCCTTTCTTTTTCCATAACGGGACCACTATGACGTTCTGCCAGTCTTCTGGGTCTTTTCTTTACTCTCAGGCTGTATTGAAAATTCGCCTCAGCCACAGTACGCCGGTGTTTCCACAAGCTCTTATGGCTTCCTCTGTGAAGTCATCTGGTCCAGGGGCTTTGTTCTTGGGGCTGGTTTTGAGTGCCTTTTCGATTTCACTGAGAAGTATGGGTCATTCCGTTTTCTCTCCATACGATGATTGGAAGTCTTTTTGTTGTCTGTGATAAGCGTCTTGGTTGAGTAGTTCTTGGAAGTAATTTTTCCATCTTTTCTTAATGGCATGCTTGCTGAGAATGGCATAACCCTCTTTATCATTATAATGCATGTCGGGTTGTATGGGCCTTTTTCCTTACCCGCATGCTGTTCACATTTTTATAAAACTCTCTAGAGTTTTCCTTGCAGATTTTGGTCAGTTTCTCGCCATATATTTTCTATGCATTTTCTTAAGCAGTTTTGGTGATTCTTTTGGTCTCTCTTCTCGCTTTTCTGTACTCTATATTGTCCTCTGCAGTCTTTGACTTCTGCCATTTTTGAATGTCTTCTTTTTCATTCTAATTGCTTCTTTGGTTTCCTCATTCCACCAGCATGTTGTTCTGCTTTTGTTTCTGCTTTTGTTTCCACCTCTGCGTTTGGTGCCACAACTGTTTTTCAGTATTTCTGACAGGAATTTTTTGAATGTTTGCCATTCGTCTTCTACGTCTTTGGTCTCAGGTGATAGCTAATTGTACTCCTTGGTAATGTCATCTTCGATTGCCTCCTTGATGTCTGGTTCTTCCAGTTTTTATAGGTTGGTCGTGGTTTTTCCCCTGTTCTTTGTTTGCTTTACATTGCTGGTTGTGAGAGTAAGTATCACAGATTTGTGGCCCGTGTCGACGATGTAGTTTGGAACCGCTCTTGAATCTTTGGCTGTATGTATTTGTTTTCTGTGCATCAGGATGAAATCAATTTATGATGCATGGTTCTGGTCATTCCATCTGTACCAGGTCTTGATTTGGCTTCGTCTGTGTTGGAAAAATGTGTTACAAAATTCAGTCGTGCTCAGCGCATAGGTTTAGTATCATTTCTCCTTTGCTGTTGCAGTCTGTACCTTTATCACTGTGGGGTTCCAAGTACTCTTCCAAGGGGGTTCTTCGTTGTCCAGGTCTGCCATTTAAATTTCCCTAGATAGATATATTTTCTTTGTTCTTGATGGTGTTAATGTGGTTGCTCAGGTCTTGGAAATATGGTTGTCTATCTTCCTCTGCATAACTGTCGTTACAAGGAGCGTATGTTTGGATGTACGTTGTTGTTTTGCCTCCCTCTATAATTTTTATGCTCACTATTCTCTCTGAGATCTGGTTGATTTCATAGATTGTATCCATTTTTGCTGGGTGTATGATGAATGCTACATCCTGGTTCGGTTCTCTCATTTTCAGGTGTTTTGCTCCAGATCAGGAGGTAGCCTTTATGGGTCAGCTTGCTGTGGTTGCCTCTGTTACTTATGTCTGACTAGCCCATGATTGCTGTTTTCTCTCTTTCCATGAAATTCACTATTTCTGGTTCTTTGTCTCCAAGTTCGCTGACGTTCTATTCCTATTTTAATAGTTGTTCTAGCTCGCTGTCCGTTAACTTTTCCTGGTCTTTTTTTCCGTTTGAATCAGTCTTACTGAAACAAATTGGAGTAATGTCAAGAAGCTCTCTCAAGTTACAGAAAAATGGAAAGTGTTTGTCAGTGGCTTATGCCCTGATCCAGGGGAAGAAAGGCGATGATGATGATGATGATGATGATGATGTCTTTTTCCATCTCACTGGTCCATTCCTGCTTCTTCCTGATGAAACATGTCATTGTTGTGTTGACGTGTTGGAAACTACTTCTGACTACAGCTACAACTTTTTAAAGTTTTGAGTCTTGTGCTTTTGTAGCTTTTTTGTCTTTTTGTTTTGTTTTGTTTTTATTTTAAAGGAGATGAAGCTCATAGTAATCTTAGATAATGGTGTAAAATTTGAAGGTTCTGTGTACGTGCAAAAACATTTTAGTAATTTAAAGTTGAAAAGGAACATGTAAATAAATTGATATTTACGATACTGTGCATGTTGTACTTGAAAATATGCATGAACACTATTGGAAAATCATTTTTTTAAAAAGTTTCATGACAAATGAAATCAAGTGGAACATTTATTTCTTCCCATTTTCTTTCAGGCCCTGGACCTTGTAATGGAGAACACCGACCTTCCAAAGAAAGTTTTGACCAACACTACCAGGTTCAGAACCCGTATGAACGACGCTGGGTTCACTCTTTCTGTAAGTTTATGACGCTAAAAAATTGACTGTGATGTAATGGTAAAGCCAGGAGTGAGTAATCGTGTCCAAGTTGTGGGCCGTATTAAGCTATTTAAAATATTATCTCACTTGCCAAAGCAAGAGGAAATTATGGAGTAAAATTGGTTGAAATGCTAATGCTCTCAAAAGGGAGATTAAGACTGACACCATAGCATTCGTCACTCAAGGGCTTATCATGAGATAAAAGATGTTAGATCTATTGCTACCAGCTGGGCTGGAAACTGTTGGTTTTAATTTTCAAGTGGGAAAATTTTGCTCAGACTAAAGTTAACTTCCTTTGTCATATTTATTCTGGCAAAATGGTCTTGTAATAATAATGATATTAGCAACAATGATAATGATGATGGTGATCATAATAATACTACTGATAATAATAATTATTATTATAATTCATAATGATAATAATAATGCTAATAATAGCGCAATAATTTTCATTGCTACTTTTATGATTATTTTTTACCTATATTCACAATCATCATAGTTGTTACATAACTACTATTGGTGCTACTGGAACCA